CCCTTGATCTCTGACTCCCTCCATGTGATAGCTAGTTCGTGATGACTTTGAACTCTTTGGGTCCAGGTGTCACCCATCAAGCAGCCTCTCCTATTTGGGCCTCAGCTTCTGAGTCAGATCAGCCCTGCCCCTGGGTACCCCACGCCGAGGTTTGGGAGAGCCTGTGGGGCTTAACATGGGGATTTTGTTGGAGGCATCTTTGTCCTTAATCTAAGGGAGGCTGTAAGTCAGCCGAGGGTTGGTGCTGGTGACCTTGGGTGAGTGTCTCCCTGTAAAATGGTGATAATGATGCCTGCTGGATAGGGTGGTGGGAGGATTAAGTGTGATTAAGGGGGCCGTCCTCCCGGGCGGGCTTGACACTAGTTGGCCTCCATTGTGACCATGATTATTGCTGGGAGTGGCTGCAGGGAGTGGGGGCTGGGCTGTCTTGAGAGCTCCTCCCCGACCAGCCCACCTGCCAAAGCACATGGCGCAGCCTCAGGGCAAAGGGAAAGTGGCTGGCACGGTTTTCCTCCAGAATAGTTTGGGGCTGGGTGAGAGTAGAGGCCTACCCCGGCTGTTCCATGATGGGGTCATGATTTGGACTCACCCACCCGTGGCCTGGTGAGAAGTGACTCGCCCAAGGTCATGAGGTCACCACTAGTAGAGCCAGGATGGGGTTCCAGGTGTCTTGACTTCCATCCCCAAGCCTGTGCCCGTGGCACCCCCCGCCCCAGCTGTCTGGGTTATTTTGGGCTCCCTCCCGTGCCAGCTGTCTGCTGGCCTCACTGTCTGCTTGGAAGTAACCAGTGTGGTGCTGTTGGCTCCTCCCATCTTGGTGATCTCTGCCGGGAGGGAGGGGTGTGCCCCACTGCACCCTGCCCCAGACTCCCCCCGCTGGCGTTTCATCCTCGCCTGGGAGGAGCTGAGGAGGTTCACGTTGTTGATATTTCATGAGCCTCCCCCTCGGCCCATACCCCCATACCCCTGAAACCTAGTTTTCAGTTTGGCCCTGCCCTTGATGCTCACGTGGCCCTTCTGCTGCCGGAGAGGGGTGTACCTCCCTTTGGATGGAGTCCTTGGTGCTCCCCGTGGGGTCTTTACCTCCCACTGGCCTCTGATGGCTAAATAATTGATTTGTCTTCTCCCAGCTGCGCCCTGGAGGGCTGGGCCAGTTCCTCCACTCCCGCCCTCAAGCCAATTAGGGAGCAATTAGGTGCTAAACTGTGGTCTGTCTGGATGTGATTCTCCAAGTGGAGTCTGGGACCCACCTAAAAGGATTGTACCCTTCTCCCTGCTGCTTCCCTCTCTTGCCCACCTCTTTCTCCTTTTTGTGTCCTCCCCACCTCCATATCCCTGCCCAGGGCAAGGAGGGGCGGGGCACTCCACCCGCCAGTCCCCTAGCCAGTCACTTTGTGAGCTTGGGGCGGGGCCGCTCCTGGCGCCCGGCCCTGGGGCCTGGCAAGAGGGCCACGCCAGCGGAAGGGCTGCCTGGGCTGGGAGGTGGCTGAACTGGCCTTACTACTGGGACGCCAGTGTCCCCGCCTCTTCCGGCCCCTCCTCCGGGAGCCCTGGCATGGAATATGACCTTTCAGACCCTTAGGGTGGAGACGCAGCCTCTGCCTGGGCTGTGAAGAGAGGCACCCCCACCGTTCAGGTCACCTGGGTCCAATACTGTCTCCAACTGGCCTGTGACCTCTGGCAAGTTGCTGCCACGTGCCATTAGGAAAAGGAAGTTAGATGATACCTTTGGAGCTGTTGGAGTTTGCTTTGTGAAGGGACCACTCCGGAGTGGTCCTCCCATCCCCACCTCCCCAAGTGCTCATAGGCAGCAAGGCCTGGGGTAGTCCTCAGGAGGACAGATAGACAGTGCGTACTCCCCTGGCCACCTCTGTCCCTGACAATGGCTTCACCTGCCAGGGCTCAGTGTCTTCTGCCTCTCATGGGAGGGCACCTCTTGGGTGTTCTGAGGCACCTCAGGGACGTGGGATCCCTAAGCATCAGCGTGACCTGGGCCGGCTGGACTTTGTTCTGGAAAGACAGAAGTGGACGGGCCCCTGTTGCTTTCCTGAGTCTGTGTCCCTGTTGGCCTTCCTGTGGCACAGGTCTCCATGTGTGCACAAGTGACTTTACCCCACAGATGCCTCCTGGCAGCTCCACTAGGCTTCTGTGTCCCAACAGTTTTTGTATCCAGAACCTGCTTAAAGACTCTTTCTTGCCTCCTGCGACTCTCAGGAATTGCCGGTGAATAGGAGAAGAGTGACACGGGCCCTCGGAGCCTCTTGCAGGTAAGGGAGCAGGCTGGCGGCGGGCAGGCATGGCCCACTCCGCAGCTGGCCCGCCTGGCCTCTGAGGAAGCTGCGTGGCTGGCTCGGCTCCTGGGTATTTTTAGCTACAGATGCAGCCCCACCATCACCACGGGAGCCAGGTCCAAACCAAACACGCTCCAGGCCGGCCAGGGCTGGGGTTCTGCCAGCCTCCTGGCCTGGCAGGGGTGGGTGGGCAGGCTGGGGCAGCGTCAGCTGTTCTGCCTGGACCAGAGCCAGACTGGGGAGATGCACTTGTGCTCATTTCCTCCCCTCCTCCCTCCAGTTTTGTGCAGGCCTGTGCTGTCGTAAGTAGAGATCATAGCCCCATTTCTTGGATGGAGAAGGTAGGGACTGGAGGTCTGAGAATTTTGAGGACAGTCAGGAGCCCTCCTATGGGCTCGGGTGGTGCACTGGGTTTCCAGTGACCCTTCTGAGTGAATCCTCCCCGGACCCCTTGCAGATGGGGCAGCCTCCCTCCCCCCTTTGTTCCCCAGTCCTTCCCTGAGGCAGCTGGAGGGCAGGTGCCTGGGCTGGCTGCAGGGGGGTGAGTGTCCTCCTCTCCTTCTCAGGTGACTATCACTCCACCCTGGCCTGGCATCCTCCCCATCCTCCTGTTGGTCCTGGGGACCTCACTTCTCATAGGTCTCTGGACCTAGTCCCCTCCTCTCCTGCCATCTTCAGGGCACCAGCTAATCATAGCTCCCTGCTGGTCACCCCCAGAGAGCTCCAGGCCTGGCCGTGGCTGTGGCTGGGCTCCTGTCCTGTTCAGGAGCCTTCTGTCCACCACCCGCCTTGGGCTTGGCAGTCATGTCCTCCATGGTGTGACCCCGCTTCCCCTGACAGCCCTCCCTGGCCTCCATCCTTACTGTCCAGCCTCCACAGAACCTGGGGATGGCTTTTTAGCCACCTTGCACTTGCCCAGGCTGCGTGCCCATCCTGCCCCCACTGGCCTGCCCTCCGACACTGCTGAGCTTAGTTTGTGTGCCAGCCAGTGCTTGCTCACCCTCCCTGAGCCCCACGGGGTGGTGTCTGGTCTCTAATCTTTTTGCATCCCAAACTCTATTAGACTGCTTCCCCCAAGACAGCTCCTCCCAAGCAGGAACACAATTGCTTCTCAATAAACGTGTTGCAAAAAGGAATGGATGGCTTGCTGTAATTTGTGGGGATGCTTGACCCAGAGGGTGCCCCTCTGCCCAGTGATAGGAGGGGGCTTCCCCCTAACAACCTGGTAGGGTGGGTCCTGGCCTCCCCTTCCCTCTCTGCTGAGTGTCTTCAGCTTCCACGGGCAGTCACTGCTGCCCCCTGGCGGTCAGACCCTGCCTTGCTCCTGCTGAAAACCTTGACCGGGCGTTTATGGAACTGCCAGGTTGGCTGTTTTCCTCCACAAAGCGAGGTTTACCTGAACTTTGCTGGGATCTTGAAAATTGGGAGTCTTTGGGTTGGGACAAGAAGCTCCTGAGTCCTGACAGCCCCTCCCTGAGGAAACTACGTGAGGTTATTTGCCCTCCAACCATGCTGCTGGAGGGGTTTTGTTAAAAATGGGCTCTACCTACCCCAGTTGGGAGGACCCCACTGTCACTTGGCCATACACTAATGCCCATCTACCGCGGACAGACTCTGGGGGTCTCTGCCACCCCTGACCACTCACCTGAGTGGTGCAGGGGACAGTGGGCCCGGGGTGGCAGGGAGGGAAGGGATGGGGGCCGCGGGTGATCTCAGACAGCTATCCTGCTAGTACCTGTACATAGTAAGTGCTGTTTTGGTCAGAGGATGGGAAGGTTCCTGGGATGAGGGACATGTGGCTGCCAGCAGAACATTTCCTTAAATTTCTTGGGAGGTGTGGGGGTTACCAGTCTCCAAAGTCCGGGGGGGGGACCCAGCTGATCTCAACTAGATCTACCCCAACCTGCCCCCTCCCCGACGGTGTCTTGCTCGGCTCACTTCTCTGGCCCCTGCTGGGAGGGGGCGCCTGCCCTCTGCTGTCACCTGCGCCTGAGCGGCCCGCGCCGAGGCGACTGCCCGGCAGAGGGCGCCCGGCGCCCACCCTGCGGCCCTAGGAAAGCGGTGCAGGTAAGCGGAACCCAGTTCCCCGCCGCTAGCCGCACGTACACGGGGCCCCAGGGCCAGAGCAGGTGGGCAGGCGCGACCCCCAGGCAGCGTCTTCCGCGGCACCATCGTCGCTACCTCCTGCGGGGAGCCGGCCGGAGGTGGACTTGCCCCAGAACACGGCCGGGGCCAGGCAGGGCCAGGGGCTCCTCGAACCCGGCGCCGTAGCGCAGCCCGCCCATCAAAGGGCCCTGGCGGAGGCGGCCGAGCCGGCCAATCAGAGGGTCGCTGCGGGGGCGGAACCTGCCAATGAGGGGCGCCCGGGGTGGATCGGCCGAAACCAGCCGGCTGCGCCGGCGGGTTGCGCACCGTGACGCGCGGGGACGGGGATGCGGATGGGAGCTGCGTTTACGGCTGGGCACCCCGTTTCTCAGGTGCCTCAGTTTCTCTGGGACTGAGAGGTGGCCACCCAGCGTTGGGACTGTAGCGTAAAGGAAACTGAGGCGGGAGGTCGGCCCGGGAGGCTGCCTGGCGGAGGCGGCGCCGGTTCCGAGTGGGCGGGGCTTCCCTAGCCCCGCCCCTACAACCGCCCCCGCCCCGAGCGGAGCGCTCCGCTCCGGCTGCCGGCTAGGCGCGCGCGGCCGCCAGTGCTGCCGGCTCCCGGCCATGGACGCCCCCGGGGCCCCGGCACCGACCCCCGCCCCGGGCCCGGGCAGGAAGGAGCTGAAGATCGTGATCGTGGGCGACGGCGGCTGCGGCAAGACTTCGCTGCTCATGGTGTACAGCCAGGGCGCCTTCCCCGAGGTGAGACCCCCGGTGGGCTGGGGGCGGGGATGGGCTTGGGACCGCCGCGGCGAGGGACGCCCCCCAGCCTGTGCCCAGAGGCCGGACCGCGGGGTCTCTGGCGCCCCGAGCGCAGAGAGGCTGCCGCCACCCCGGGGCGCCCCCTCGGGAATTCCGGAGCCCGGCAGCAGGGTTGAGGGAGGCCGCGCCGCGTTGGGTGAGGCTGGTGGGCAGTGGGGGTTCGGCTGGGCTTGGGGCCTCCTTAAGGACCAACCCGCCCCTTGTCCCGCAGCATTATGCCCCGTCGGTGTTCGAGAAGTACACAGCCAGCGTGACCGTGGGCAGCAAGGAGGTGACCCTGAACCTCTACGACACGGCCGGTGAGTGTCTGCCCGAATCGTTCCCCCAGCGGGGCATCCCCGGCCGCAGGCCTTTGCGGGGCCCTGACTGCCCCTCACTCCTGGGGGCCGCGCAGGGGCGCAGGCCAGCAGCCGCTGGACCACGGCCAGGCTGGGTGGCCCTGGAGGCAAGAGGGCCTCCGTGGCTCCGTCTGTAAATGGAGGGCGTTTGGACCACGTGAACTCCCGGCACTGCTGTGCTGAGGGCCCAGGGCTTGTTCCTCTCCTGTGGTTCTAGAAAACCATGGGTTGCACTGAAGCGCCCCATGGTTCCAGGGATGGTGTGTTACCTGCTGGGGTCTCCGAGGACTCTGGGGGCTGCATATTTGGGTCCCCTGCTGCTAGGATCGCGTGGGCTGCATTTCTTCGTTTGTGGCTCTGGGCTACAGGTCAGAGCCTATAGCTCCAGGATTCTGTGGCCTGCAGTGCTGTGTCCTGAAGCTCCAGGGTCCTGTGGATGTGAGTTCTGTGTCCCCGGCCTCTGGGATTCCATGGACTGCAGTTCTTGCTTCCAGAATTCTGTTGCTACAGCTAGTTCTGCGCTTTCCTGGTTTCCTGGGAAGAAACCAAACCGTTTTAGAAAATAAAGTGAGGGAAGGATCAGAGCTCTAGGGAACATAGGATCAAAATAAGGTTCTACGTGCCCCCTGCAGCTTGCCACACAGTGGATCTTATGGATTTATGTTAATTGTATTAGGATCATCAGAGTCAGTGTTGTGATGGGTGGGGGGGGTGAGAAGACCCAGGCTGCCTTCTGGGCTCCACTGACATTGGGAAGCAAAGGTTGAGGTCTGTAGTGAGGCCTCACCCAGCCTGTGTGACTCAGTGTTTAGTGACCTGTGTGGAACCACGCCAGCAGGTGTCCCTTCCCCTGGCAGCCAAGCCTTGCGTGTGTGAAGTCTCTCACTGACCAGACTGGAACCAAAATCCAGACACCCCCAAAGCCCCAAGCAGACCCTGGAGAGGGTCAGAAAAGGGGCTGCTCCAGCTCCAGATCTATCCTCCGTTCCTGACTTGAGCAGGTCCTACAGTGGCCTCTGAGGACCCCACCTTGTTGGATGAGGGCCCTGCAGTGCCACCTCCAGAACAGAGCATGCCTCCAGCCCGGGTCAGCTGGGAAAGCCAGAGGCTTCAGAGGAATCCCCACGGCATGGCCCAGAGGGCAGTAAAACTCATGGTCTGTCTGGGACACTTACTTCACAGGGAGGGGCAGGGTCATCAACCCCACTTTGTGGGTGCGGGGCCGGTGGAGCAGAGACATTGCACAGCAAACCGAGGCCCTGGGAGAGTCAAGGGAGTTTTCTCTCCTCCTGCCCTCAGAGCCTCTGCCATCTGACCAAGAGCTGGGACCGCTTCTGGCCATTCTGGCCCTGCCCAGAGGAAGATGCTCAAAGAACATGTCGTGTAGATTGTGGTGGGGGGTGGGGGGTCTGAAAAGCTGCTAATTGGCCTAAGAAAGAATTTGTGCTGAGAGCTGCTGCTGGAGGGGCAGGGGAGCTCCTGTTGCCGGGGCCATCAGCGGCACATGACCGCTGTAACGGTCCCATCCACCATCCCATCCCATCCTTGCCACCTGCTTTGGAGTCAGACCTGGGCTTCGATGCTGGCTCCATGGGCTATGTGTCACTGAGGATGTCTGGGCTTCAATTTCATCTGTCATCAGGGCTGAGATAGTGGTGGGGATTATGTCATGTTAATGTGATGTACAGCACTCCATGCAGGAGCTGGCGCTCAGGAAGGACTCAGGAAGTATTGTCATTGTGACTTTTAAAAACCCTCCTGCTGTTCCGGCCCTCCCCAGCAGAGCCCAAGCTTGTGCTTTGGAATCCCTGGCCCAGGCCGCAGCCCCGACTGGCCCCAGCAGCCGCAGAGAGGGCAGCTCTCTTTCCTGCAGGACTCTTCTGAGCAGCAGAAAAGCAGCGCGGTTTGAGCCCCCCAGTGAGTCCCAGGGCAGTGGGCTGGCCTCCCAGTCAGCAGCGTGGACCAAGCAGGGGTCCTCAGGGGAAAAGAAACCTGGCTGCCCCTCCAGGGTGTCCCGCTGTGACCAGGGAGGCCCTGCTGGCAGTTGGAAGTTCCCTGGCGGGCGAGCGAGCAGTGTGAGGAGACAGGTCTTTCCTCTTACGCATGCAGTGCTCACCGCAGCGCCTGTCACAGGGCAAGACTCGAGAAACGACTGTGGAATGAATGAATAGCAACTCTGAACTCGGAAGATGATTCTCCTCTCCTTGTGGGGTGGGCAGATATCAAGGGAACATGGCAGAAAACGATGGCCAGGTGACCACCTAGGGCAAGACAGAGCCTAAAGGGGTGAGGGGCATGGCCAGGCTGGAGATGAGTCTAGTAAAGGTTTTTGTAGAAGGTTCTAGAACCCAATGAGCTAGACATGGTGGAGTAGGAGGGACTCTTTCCAACCAATGATGACCAGAGCTGTGGGACAAGGGGTAGCTTGTGGGAGGTAGCATTACTCAACACCCAGGACTGAATGGTGGCCCTGGGCGGTGCCAGGACCCTGCCCACAGGGGCCCACATGGAAGGCCAGTCTGGCTGCTGGTCTCTGTCTGCGGAAGCGGTTGCAGACACCACGGCGGTGGGAGGGCGGGTGGCAGGGCGGCAGAGCCCTCAGTGCTCAGAGGTGAGGGGAGGGTGGGGTCGTGGCACCCGCTGCTCTCAAAGCCAAGCCCGGCCCTGACAGCCTCAGAGGCAGGAAGCTGCGGTGAAGCTGGAAGTTTCCTGGGCAGAGGGGAGGCGGGGGCAAGGTGGGCTGCTAAGACACCCACTAGAGACTGAGCTCACTGGGCCTTGGGGTGGGGTCCAGGGCTGGGGGTGCACAGGATGGGGTGGGGGTTGCCCCAGGGAGGTGGGGAGCTGCAGTCACCTGCCCAACCTGAGATGGGAACAGTAGGAAAAGTGGGGGTGCAGAGGAGTTGCTAAGACAAGGAATCAGGGACAGGAAGGTGTCGTGCGCCTCAAGAGCACTGGAGGCCCAGGGAGAGCTGAGACTGGCCATGGAACCAGAGCGCAGCATCAGCTCCGGCCGGGCAGCCCCAGCCTCTCCCGTCTCTGGGGAGGAAACACAGCCGAGTTAGTAAGAGCGGGTTCCTCTTCTGGCAGCTTCCCCTCTCACACTGCCTGTACCTTCCCCTGACCAACGCCCTGGCCAGGGCTGGGAGCCACCTGCCCTGCGTGTGTCCTCCGGCAGACCTGGGGACTACTGTGGCCCCGATGATACTCTTCTCTCCTCAACCCAGCTCCAGGCAAAGCCCCACCCCACAAATACGCCTGTGTGAGGCGAGAACCTCGCTTCCTCCCAGCCCTGCAGCGCCGCCAACTCCAGGAAGACAGATAGCTTCACGGGGAGCTTGGCCCAGAGGACTTTTCCCACCAGAAACAAATGCATCCTTTGCACACAACTCCGGGGCTTTTATAAACTCGTAAGCCCATCTGCAGAGGCCAGTGGGACCCCTCTGTGACTGTGGGCAGGTGACTTTGGCTCCCTAAGGCCTTAGCATGATTGTGGGTAAAGTGGGGGAGGGTAATAGTATCACCTGTGGCTGGGAGGCCCCCCAAAGCGTGTGACTGCAGAGATTGTGGGGTCAGACCTCCCACCTGGGCTGTTAACTTCCTGTGGAAGTTTCTGTTTAAGTAGTTGCCACAACAGCAGTGGCTCAGCCTTTCACTTTCCGTGTCAGGAGCAAGGTTATCGCCGCCAGTCCCGGGTAAGGAAACTCAGGTCCAGAGAGGGAAGGTGCCAAGGACTGGAATGTGTGTGAGCGGCACCTGGCCCGCCTGACTCATGCAGCAGGGCATCTGGTACACTCCACCCCGGCCAAGGAGGCACGGCGGGAGCAGCACACGGAAGTGCCTCATCTGCAGGTCCCTCGTGGAGGCGCACACTGAATCCTGGGGACAGCTGCACCTGGCCAAGGCAAGCCAGGAAGGCAGCCTGGAGGAAGAGCTGGCATCTCTTTCTTGAGATGGCTGTGTTGACAGCCGTTTTCCCCACCTGGCCAGGGGTGGGACATGCAGGGTGAGGATTCTTCCCTACCTTCTGGGCGAGGCTGAGAGAAAGGCACCTCCATAGCCCTGCCTGTGGTCCTCTGTCATTTACAAAGTTTCCCCTCTGCTGTGTGACCTTGGGCAAGTCACTTCAGCTCTCTGTGCTTCAGTTTTTCCACCTGTAACGGGGATAACAATAGCGTACCTTGAGGGTCGCTGTGAGGGACGATGAGTTAGTGCAGGTAAAGGGCTTTGAATGGGGCTTGGCATCTGATGAGCAACCTTCCCAGGTACATACTGTCCACATTAGCCATCCTTATTGTAACTGTCACCAGGGCTCACCTGCCTGTCACATCTGCATCTCACAGATGAACAGACTGAGCGCCAGAAGCCAATTCCCAGTCGGCGGGCGGGGAAGGCTTGCTGGAGGAACCGGCGCTTGCAGGGTGGCCTGGCAGGCAGCGGACCTTGGGGACAGAGTTGGCATTCCAGCTTGCAGGGTGCTGCCCCTGACGATGACAAAGGCCCCCTCAGCCACTTGGGCTCTTAACAGGAAGCACTTTCCCCGCCCTGCTGACCTCGCGGGGCGGCTGCTTGAGTTCACACAGGTCAGGAAGTGAAACGCCCTCACGACGCAGAAGGGCCGTGTAAAGCCAGAGAGACTGCGATCGCACTTTCTTCACCGCTCGGTGGCTTCTTCCTTCAGTCACCAAATGAGCACGAGCTCGCCTGTGTTCCAGGGGGTACGACTGTGAATGCTACAGAGGTGGCCCCTGTCCTCAGGGGGAGACAGACAAAAAAGCCCAGAAAAATACCGTGAAGTCAGGAGAGAGACGTGCCGTGAAGCAAAGTGAAGCCAGGTCGGGGGCAGGGTGTGAAGGAGGCTGTCTCAGAGCAGCCGGTAAAGGTCTCTCGGAGGAAGTGACATTTCTGCAGAGACCTGAAGGAAAGGAGGGAGCCAGCTGTGCTGCTCTGTCCGAGGAGCCTTCTGGAAGAGGGAACAGCAAGGGCAGAGGCCAGCTGGGGGGCCGGCTGGCGCAAGTGCTTCCAGCCCCCTCCGTGGTCCGACTTCCTCCTTCAGCCCACTGGCCCGACTCCTGCCCTCACCACCTCGCGCGACACCTCGAGTCCTGATGTCACCGCGGACTGTAATTGCCAAACCCAGAGGGCTCATCTCAGCCCTTATCTCTGCTGAGTTCGACCAAGAATCGAACTTGAAGACAACTGTTAGGCAATATCTACGGAACGCCTCCTGGGTGCCAGGGGTTATTTTTAAGGACAGACAGGGTCCCTGCCCTCCTGGTACTTACAGTCTGAGGGGCAGACAGTGAAGTAAGTATCTAAGTACAAATTGTGGCAGGTTGATCGAGAGAAACTACCTACTGGGGCCAACTGAGAGACAAACAGGGTGGGTGTGACCTTGGAGCAGCGAGGAAAGCCTCGCTGAGGAGCCGTCCCTTAAACCCACGGCGAATCAGCCACCCAAGAAATGGCAGGACGGTCTGAGCAGGGGGGGCCCCGCTCGACAACCACAGTCATCCCTCCTTATCTGCGGTTTCACTCTCCGCAGTTTTAGTTGCTTGCAGTCTGAAAATATTATGTAGAAAATTCCAGAAATAAACGGTTTATAAGTTTTAAACTGTGCGCCATTCTGAGCAGCGTGATGAAATCTCGCGCCGTCCCACTCTGTCCCCCACACCCCGGGTATGAATCCTCCCTGCGTCCATCGGATCCACGCCATCCGCGCCACCCGCCCGCGAGCCACATGGCGACCTTCTGTCTTGGTTATCAGATCCGCTGCAGCGGTATCGCGGTGCTTGTGTTCAGGTTACCGTTATTTACTTAGCAGTGGTCCCTGATGTTGCAGCTCTTTTAGAATTTGTCTAGCGGGTTTTCTGGTTCTCGCCTCCACAAAAAAAAAAAAATAGTAATAGGGGCCCCTAGGTCGGGCGCGGTGGCTCACGCTTATAATCCTAGCTCTCTGGGAGGCCGAGGCGGGCGGATTGTTTGAGCTCAGGAGTTCGAAACCAGCCTGAGCAAGAGCGAGACCCCGTCTCTACCAAAAAATGGAAAGAAATTAATTGGACAGCTAAAAATATATGTAGAAAAAATTAGCCGGGCATGGTGGAGCATGCCTGTGGTCCCAGCTACTCGGGAGGCTGAGGCAGTAGGATCGCTTGAGCCCAGGAGTTTGAGGTTGCTGTGAGCTAGGCTGACGCCACGGCACTCGCCCCAGGCAAGAGAGTGAGACTCTGTCTCAAAAAATAATAATAATAGTGGCCCCTAAATGCAAGAGTAGTGAGGCTGACATTGTAATTGTTCTATTTTATTATTAGTTATTGTTAACCTCTTACTGTGCCTAATTTAGACATTAAACTTTATCATAAGTATGTACGTATAGGAAAAACATAGTCTATATAGGGTTCCGTACTGTCCGCGGGTCTGGGAACGCGTCCCCCGTGGATGGGGGACTGCCGCAATTGTTCACTCCTGCTGTACTTGTAAAAGAGAATGAAATATCTATTATGCCATAATTACGAACCCTGCTGTTACATCTTAGAGGCCTAGAAGCTATTTTTGCACAATACAGAACAAAATAGCGGGTGAGCGTGTATAAGCAGAAAGAACACTCCACCTGGAAGCTGATGACCTGGGGTTCACTCGACACAGTCACTGATTCAGTGGCCTTGGGCAAGTCACTTCACTTCTGTGAAACTCAATTTCTTTATATGGAATGGGAGTATTCATGATTTCCCTATTATATCAGATTGTACGTAAGGATTTCTTTTTTTTCTTGAGACAG